AAGGCGCAAGTTTAAGCCCTAACCTCATCATTGTACTGTCGAAACGCAGCAACTCGTTCTTCTACGGTCTCGCTGCTGAAGGGAACAAGCTTTAACTTCTGCATCACCTAATGATTACATAATAAACACAATGGTGAATAAAATAATGATGGTGGTTGCTGGTATATGTAGAGATTATCACATGTTAAGGGGGCACTTGGATGAAAACGCCCCGATTTTTGAAAGTCCAAATAATTGAAGTATTTGAGGATAATATGACTCAATTATGACTACGTAAACATGATTAGTGAAAATTTTAGCCTGGGAGCCACTTGCAGATGAGAAATTTCGGTTTAAAAGCAAAAAGAACAATAGGGTTGAGTAAATGACGTCATTTACTCACAATTTATAAGCTGAATAAAATTGATCATGTTTATCCGCCACTTTTGACCGTGAAGAAAATATGATGCTTGGCTACTATTGGGGCCATATAGATACGTTTAAACAAGTTTCAAGTCATTTCCAATTTTCATCGATTTTCATCCAAGTGCCCCTTTAAGAGCTTGATATCATTTTTATTCACGAGTTTCCATATCATATTGCGAACAAGCGAGTCCGCGAGCGAGGCTCTTAACATGCAATAATTTGTTTATTACACATTTAGGGTCGATAAAATGACACCACTCACAGTTTCCAGCTCTGTGAAGTGATATCGTAACAGTTCAGTGAAATGGTTTTTATTCACGGCCTTATCACACTGATATCGAACCTAAATGTGTACTGAATAAACCTAGTAATGTACTCACATCAAGTGCCGTATCCAGTTGATTTGCGTGATACAAGTCAAAAAACTGCATCAAATCAAGCAGCAGGTAGAAAGTACTGATGCGACTCTGACTGGTGTTGTGTCCTTGCACACGGTACCTAAGGAGATGCCACAGTAATAGATAATGAGTTCACGCTTCTTTACATCGATTTCCCCAACAATGTGAGTCAGAACACTCTAGGATTGTACCTGGATTTATCGATCCTGGGATCTGTGCAGTATCTCTAACTAAAATCATATCATCATTGAGTCAGTTTCTTTTGCTCACTGGCGATGTTAATCCTTCATATCTAGTTATCAACCACGTTTTAAGAAACTTCCCCAATGATGGTATAAGGCGGTTATATACCTTATACCTTGATGGATATCAGATATATTCGCCTCGGTAACGGTATATAACCTTCATATAACCTATACATACTATAATCAGATAATACTGTCATACTAACCTGTCGGCAACCGATACAGCAAGGTTCTGGAGCCTGTCGCGAGGAGACTGAGCACCACCAGTAGAAGATACAACCTGACTCAGTAGTTTGTTCAATATTTCAACAGCCTTTTCATGGTTCTGACAGAGAAAAATTGATWATTGCAAGAATGCATATTTTAATATATTTTAATTTTTTATGCATTAAAAGGCAACAAGCATACAAATGTACGTGAATAGAGGTTCTGTATCATCACGAACCCACGCCCAAATACAGCTTGGGCTGCCTGTGGTTAGATGGCAGAACGATAAAATCCCTTTCCTCTTGGAAATTGAATTCTTTATGTAAAACGTTTGTATTGTTCTTGCCAACTAATATGGCTGCACTGCCGTCACGTGATCAGTCTAATTAAAGGCGGAGGATTTGAGGGGGGGACAGGGGAAAGCTAAACACAGATCAGTTAGACATGATTGGCATTGAAAATCAGTGACGTAACAGGGATAACAAATTTCATATGGTCACAAATATTGTGGACGTTTTCACCAATTGCTGCCGTTATTTTACCGTGATCGTGTCAGGTACTTTGCAGATTTCTAATACTAATACTTATGCATGTTTAAAAATTCAACCTTTGCCAAGTCGTAGAGTTTGACAGCTTCTTCAAACAGTCCCTTATCTTCGGTGTCCTTAGCCACTAGTTCGATGATCTTTTGAGTTTCTCGTTTGTCTCTTTGGAATTTGTCAATACAACCAGGCTGTACAAAAAGATGAAGGAAACATTTGAGTTTTAGCACTTTAGTTTTCTCGAAGATAACTAACCCGGAGGTACTACTATAAGGAGGAAATAATAAGGCCTGAAGAAATATTGTTGCTGCCTGCTGCTCCCGAACCACCAAGGGTTAATGAGCGCACTCAAAGAAGAGAGATGTGCAAGAGGAACAAGGAACAATGTGAGTAAAAAAGTAGGATGTAAATGAGAAACATGATTGATCGACAGTGAATGGGAAGAACTACAGGGATTGGAAATAGTTTTTTTWAAAGTAGGTCCTGGGAAATCAAGTATTTTTGTGATTCTCAATATTTTAAGGGGACTTGCAAGTGGAGTAAATCTTGAGATATACTGAAATTGTTTCATTCCTATTTTGTGTAAGAATGTTTGTCTACATAAAGGTGTACCCCTAGGAAAGGAACTGAGTGGCATGATGAAAGATGGCAGATACGCATGCTAAAATAATAGATACCATATAGGTGTCTCATTACCTTGCGACTTCCATTGGGCTCCAAGCGTCCTAATAGCATTTCAAACTGGGAGAAAAAAGGAAAAAACATGAATAAAGAATAGAGTGAAATATTATTGTTTTAGTTCCATAAAATTCACAACTTGAAATGGTTACCTCTCTGGTTTCTAGGACTAATTCACTGACACAAGACATGAAGAGGTCTTCACCATGAGGTCGCTTGATATTCCTTGAAAAAAAGTTAAGTTTATAGGATATCTTACTTAGGTAACAAGAGATGTGGCAGGGTGTTGGAGGAGGTATTAYAGTGTGGTAGGGGCCTTGGTAGGGGTCTTTATAGTAGGGGTGTGGGTAGGGGTTTTGATAGAAAAGATCAGTGGTAGGGATGTTGTTAGGATGTTGGTAGTGATGTTGGTAGGGGCCGTAGTAGCAGGTTGATAGAAGTGTTAGTAGTGCAGATGGCAGGGGTGTTAGTAGGGGTGTTAGTATGGGTGTCCGTAGGGGTGTTGGTAGGGGTGTCACTAGGGGTTTCAGTAGGGGTACTGGTAGTGGGGATGAAGGAGTGTCAGTAGGGGTGTTGGTAGCAGTGTTGGTAGGGGTGTTGGCAGGGTGTTGGTAGGCTGACAAGGGGTGTCAGCATGTTGATCACTGGGTCATTGCTAGGGTCTGTGTTAGTATATGTTTGGTGTCAGTAGTTTGCTGCTAGGGTTGTTAGTTAGTTATTGTTACTCCAGGTTATTATTTTTACCTTAGCAAGTAGAAGTACTGCAAGGCCTCTCTTGGGTCGGTTATCTCAAACTTGCGTGTATAGGACATGATGAGACGAGCAAAGTTTAATCTCCTCCCAGGYGGTGGGTCACCTGCGTCAATGGTTACTAGAAATATAATGGCCAAATAACAAATTTAGTATTCATGTATGTAAAGTATCTACTGTTTTATCATTATCTACATTTCACGAACATAATCAAAACCCATGGCAGCTGTGAAAACAAGAAGGACTTACATAGCTGTGMCTGGATAGAGTCTGGTAAAGATAAAAGACCCATCTCGTACAGAGATATAGCAAAATGAACAGCATGGCTCTTGAAGAACTCAACCCTTGATAAGAACTCRATAGCCTGTTTTGAAATATTAACAGAAAATAACATTAGATTAATTATTTGATGTAAATATGAATTCAATTAATATCATTGTATATTACAGTATTGGAGAATGAATGGGAGAGTAGATCTGCAAAAGAAAGGATGTGTGGGAGAAATAGATAAATGAATAAATGAATGAATGGACAGATGAATGGATAATTTTGATTGATGAACAAAAAGATGTATTGGAAAAATTGATGGGATTATACAAATGACATTTATTATATTTTCGTTGCTTCTCCCGGAGAAAGCTTCCTCTCACCCAGGCGACCTGGGTTTGATCCCTAGGTGGGCTTGGTGTCGTATGTGAGTAGAGTCATTTGTTGGTTCTCTCCTGTGCTTTGAGGGTTTTTCTTTGGGATCTCAGATTTTTCCTTCCTCYGCAAAAATCAACTTCTAAATTCTAATTCAATCTATTGGCTGCCTTGTCAATTGGGTAGCAAAACCTTTTAGGCATTAAGCCGTTCACCCAGGAGTGGTAAACACATTASATTTATTATCATTTTTGCAATGCAATRGATTGCAATGAATGGGATTTAGAAGTGAAAAATGAAATGAAAGGGGAGAAGAAGCAAATTGAGGTATGATAACCTAAGGACTGTTCATGGGTCCCTTGTTGTACTGCTTTTGTACTTACAGCTTCAAATTGTCCTGTAAGAAAGAGAACTTGGAAGTACAAGAATGGTTGCTGATATGCTCCAAAATGAGCTTCACCTGAAAACAAAAAAAAAAACAACAGTCCATCAGTTTCTTTATCTGATAGGGGTAGAAGGGTAAGAGATTATAAAATTCCAAGAGTTTTCTAGAGGCTAAGATTAACATAAAAATTCTAGGACCTTAACTTTGAAATTTCATGTCATTAGTATAGGAAATAGCATAATCTTGAGTACAATTCCGAATTCATAGGTACGAGTGATGTTTTGAAATTTTTCAAAATTGGATGAGCCTTTAGGCAAGTCCAATTTGAAAACTTTCAAAGCTTCACGAGTATCGATAAATTCTGAATTGTATGAGAACATTGTGTGATTTTTTGTTTATTATACACTCAACAAAATTGAGCAACTTAATTGGGACTCTACAGAGTCCAATTTGGGATTTAATTGTACTCCTCTTGTCCAATCAGAATCGAGTAATTTCGTTGAGTGCATAATAAATAGTAAAACAGTTATCCTTTAGAACAAGTGATTTAAATTTCAAGGCTCAGTTTTCCAGGTGTTGGTTTCAAAAATAAAATTTCAAGGAGCTTTCTAGGGCCCTGGAAAATCTTTTAAAGGTTCCAAGAGTTTCAAAGGAATTCCATGAGCAGTGCAAACCCTGCTAGGTGGGATTTGCAAGAYATCAAATGAACAAAATGGGCCTCCCTCTTTTTAATTCTACTGTTGGCTTTACTTAGACAAACTAAAAATACATTCATATTTTATCAGACATTCCTATTTATAAAGTCTTACCAAATTGTTCTAGTAACATGGTCTGTAGCTGATTAAGGGTCATTTCATCTTGTGATCCACCATCTTGGTCACCACTGACAAGACTGAGCTGCATYCAATAAAAAGGAAAGTTCAGAGAAGATTTTGTAAAAATAGGAGCCAATGTTAACGTGGAAAGTGACTACTCATTAGGGCCAGGATGTAAGAAGGGTGGATAGTGCTATCTGATGGATAAACCCTTATCCAGTGGATATATTTATTGGGTAACAACAATAACTTATCCACTTGATAAGAAATTATTCATCAGATAGTGCTATCTACCCTTTGTACAACTGGGCCCTGGGATTAAAATATATATCTAAATGCTACTAAGACAACACACAAGAGATTTTTTGAGAATCTGCTGTTATGCTCTAAACCTTTTAACAAATTTTTATAGAAAGATAGCCTCCTCCAAAAGAAACAATCACTCTTTGSTTTTTGGATTCTGTACAGTTACTTGTACACCTCTTAGAGAAGAGAAGGGAATGAATTGGTGATATTAATTTCTCATCCCTAGTCTCTCTCATCCCTTGTTATACACAGGTACCCCAAGCTTGAACTCTGATCATGGGTTATCTTAGATGATTTTCAGACTGACAAAATGAGTAAAATCCAAYGGGTGCATGTTCTAAACAATAAAGAGTTGTTGCAGTAATGTTYATGTTCTATTTACCTTCAGCCATAAGTAGTCATCTGTTTTGGGTGCAATCTCTTGATGGTTATCAGCTAAATCACAATGACCAACTAAACAATATACAGCTCTGGGRCAAAACAATTTACAAGGACAAATTAATAAGGCCAAACRAAAAAATAAGTGTGTTTCCTGWTGTGCGACTGACCCTAATTTTCTTGCCGATTTTTGCCGACCATGATATATTTTTCATTCCCAAATGCAYRACAGGGTTCCCAGTGAGCTGTCGTATCAGTAAAAAAAAWYCMAMCYWMCSRMCCCMAWTWWTTTT